TGCACACCCCCAGCCGAGCACAGGCAGTGCCAGGCTCCTCCGCAGCCATGGGACCAAGTCCTGCTCCTCTCCTCGTCCTCGCACTGCTGCTGCTGCTCGGGGCCGCGGTGAATGGTGAGTGAACCTCCCGGGATGGAGACAGCGCAGACACATCCCCAGCGCCGGGGGCTCCTGCACAGCCCCCATTTCCTGCCTGCACCCGCGGCCAGGGACTGTCACGGCCCGCGGGGAGGTGTCCAGGGACCTGTAAGGGACCGCGGGAGTGACTCTCCTGGTGTCTCCCCCACAGGGCAGCCCCGTGGACGGATCCTGGGGGGCTGGGAGGCCAAGCCCCACCTGAAGCCGTACATGGCCTCGCTGCAGCTGAACGGGGAACATGTCTGCGGAGGCTTCCTCATCGCCGAGCAGTGGGTGCTGAGCGCTGCCCACTGCACTGAGGACACGTGAGTGAGGGGCTCAGTTATGGCTGCTCTGGTCTGAGGGGCTGCTGGACCTGGGAAAAACCACAGCCCCAGTCCTGGCATCGGAGCGCGGGATTCAGCTCCCACCTGCAGTGAGGTCTGGGCAGGGGCTGCAGGACCCCTGGGAGCTCCTGGTACCCCTGGGGTGTCTCTAGCCTGCCACAGCACCCCATTTCTGTGGCCAGGTGCAGCTACTCCCCCGGCTCTGTGTCCCCACACTGACTCTCTTGCAGGGATGGGCAGCTCTTCCAGGTGCTGCTGGGTGCCCACTCGCTCACGGAGCCGGAGCCCCACAAACGCCTGTACCACGTGCGCGCCCAGTTCCCCCACCCCGGCAGCAACATCCACAACAACAAGGACGACCTCCTCCTACTCCAGGTGGGCTGGGGGCCACTGGGACCCTCCTCGCTGCTCCTCCAAATCCCTTGTCCCTTGGGACCCTGTGGGGTCACTGGCTGTGGTGAGAGGAAACCTTTGAGGTCAGTTTGGGCCTGGATCCCCCTGTCCCTCCCTCTGTGTCTCATGGGACCATCCCTGCTTTCTCCACCAAAGACCTTTGCACTGCATCCAATTCCTTCCATCTTTCTAGTGGCTCCAGTCTCTGGCTGCATCCCAGGGCTCTGGTTGGGAGCGAAGCCCTGAGAGTGGCTGGGGCTGTGGTGGTCCTGCTGTCGGCGCTGGGCTCACCGTGCCCTGATGGGTCCTGGGCACAGCTGCCCCCTGACCCAGGTCCCCTCTGACTTTGCGGCAGC